CATGATCCACCTGCCTCGGCCACCCAAAGTGGTGGGATTACAGTCGTGAGCCACTGCACCCAGCCTTAAAGTGATTTTAATCACAGCTGTGTTCTTCAGGTATCAGGAGAGAGAGGGGTATGAACGCCTAGAAACCCATGGGGCCCCAGGGCAAACTCTCATTTTATTACTACTACTGCTACTATTATTTATTTATTTAAGTGCTCTCACACCCAGGCTGGAGTGCAGTGGCGCAATCATGGCTAACTGCAGCCTTAACCTCCTGGGCTCAAGCGATCCTCCCACCTCAGCCTCCCAAGTGGCTGTGACTACAGGCATGCAACACCATGCCTGGCTAATTAATTTTTGTAGAGATGGGGTCTCACTATGTTGCCCAGGCTGGTCTTAAACTCCTGGCCTCAAGCCATACTGCCACCTCGACCTCCTGTGTCCCTTGCCACCACACCCACCAAACCCTCATTTTATAAATGAAGAAACAAAGACTCGGGGAAGCTGAGTGGCTACTCGTTAGTGGTATAGTTGAAACTAGAACTGTGGTTTCCTGACTCTTAAACCATTGTTCACTCCACAGTACGAGCCAGGAATCACTTTAGAGTACATTCCTGTTTTTTTCTTTCCTCTTTTGAGTGAGGGGAAAAAGGTAAGAAAGCTTGAAGAAGCATTTTTAAAAATCAGGACAGTGGCCGGACATGGTGGCTCATGCCTGTAATCCCAGAACTTTGGGAGGCCAAGATGGGTGGATTACAAGGTCAGGTGTTCGAGACCAGCCTGACCAACGTAGTGAAATCCCGTCTCTACTAAAAATACAAAAATTAGCCAGGTGTGGTGGCGGGAGTCTGTAATCCCAGCTACTCAGGAGGCTGAGGCAGGAGAATTGCGTGAACCTGGGAGGTGGAGGTTGCAGTGAGCCCACTATACTCATGTCTGAGCAACAGAGCGAGACTCCTTCTCAAAAAAAAAAAAAAAAAAAAAAAAAATCAGGACACTAAGAGTAAAGTTATCCTCGGAAAGAGGTGAAGAAGGTAATTTCAGAGGCTGGAATTAGCAGAGCACAGGAAAAGATAAGATGTAATCTAAGGCAATTAGAGTAAGCAGGCAATTACAGACTTTTGTTACTTGTATTGAGGTGAATGCTCTGAAATAGCAGGACTTTTGAAATCCATGGCCGACTCAGGACCTAGAAAGTGAGGATGTTTAACTCCCAAGTGAAAGTTCAGCGTTACACAAGACGTATTTGTTTTTATTTAACAAAAAAAAAAAAAAAAAAAAAAAAAAGAGAGAGATATTTGTTTCATATAAAGGAAAAAAACAAAAGAAACAAGATGTCAGCTAGGGTCCTCTTGGCCAATTATCCCAAGGAATGTTGATTTTCTTGGCCTTCTAGACTTCTAAGATCTTGCTTCCATGTGTAAGAAGTAGAATTTACTGTAGAGATGGAGGGAGGTATTCACATCTCAGTAACAGCAAACAGGTTTAATTGGAACAGGTGGTATCACTATCTGGCACTGCTCCCGCCTCTCTCCCCTACAGAATCTCAGCTTCTCTCCTCCTCCTTCTACCTCTTTCCTCCCCACTCCCTCTCCTCCTCCTTCTCTTCCCTTCCAGGAGGAAAAACAAGAAACTCCTCCTCTAATCTCTAGTCCAGCAGGTTTTCCCTGCCTCTGAAGTCCTAGAGTCTGCTGACATCCTTGCCCTCAAGGCCTCAGCCCTCCCTATGAGTTTAGTAAAGTCTCTCCCTCAAAAAGACAGCTCCTTCCATCCCTAAGAATTGCAGGAATCTGCTGTTAAAATTAAAAATACAGGGCCGGGCATGGTGGCTCATGCCTGTAATCCTAACACTTTGGGAGGCTGAGGCGGGCAGATCACCTAAGGTCAGGAATTTGAGACCAGCCTGGCCAACATGGCGAAACCCCGTCTTTCCTAAATATACAAAAGTTAGCCAGGCGTGGTGGCAGGTGCCTGTAATCCCAGCTAATCCTAACTATTCGGGAGGCTGAGGCAGGAGAATCCCTTGAACTCGGGAGTCAGAGGTTGCAGTGAACCAAGATTGCGCCATTGCATTCCAGCTTGGGTGAAAGAGCAAAGCTCCATCTCAAATAAATAATATAGATAGATAGACAGACAGATAGATAGATACTGTAATGTCTTTATACAAGGTTGAAAATCTCTGAAGTTTAATGAAAATGGCGTCTGACTACTGTGGAGTTTATATGTATGTGTATATATGTGTATATATAAGTGTGTGTGTGTGTGTGTGTGTGGGTATATATATATATATATATATATGTATTTTTTTTTTTTGAGACAGTTTGCTTTGTTGCCCAGGCTGGAGTTCGGTAGCACAATCTCAGCTCACTGCAACCCCCGCCTCCCAGGTTCAAGCCATTCTCCTGCCTTAGCCTCCCAAGTAGCTGGGACTACAGACACCCACCACCATGCTGGAGTAATTTTTATATTTTCAGTAGAGATGGGGTTTCACCATGTTGGCCAGGTTGCTCTCGAACTCCTAACCTCAGGTGATCCACCCGCCTCAGCCTCCCAAAGTGCTGGGATTACAGGCATGAGCCACCATGCCCGACCTATTTCTCTACTTTCTTAATAAATTTGCTTTCACTTTATGAACTTACACGAGATTCAAGAACCCTCTCTTGGGGTCTGGATCCAGACCCCCTTCCGGTGACATTTATGTATCAGATGAAGACATGATTTTCTGCCCTGGAATCACATCTTGGCTGTGTCTAGGGTAGCAGATTCACTCCATGGCTGCAACGGCCAGAGTTTTACCCTCACTTTCCTTTGTTCCCCTGATTGGATTTCCTTGGTACCCATTTCCTCTTCTCTGCCTCACATCCAATATTTCTTCATTTTCACAGTCATCTTGCATCACTTAGGAAGCTGATGAGGGCAAACCACCACCTGTGGAGAGGGGACCTGCGCCACACCCCGCCCTGTAGCTCAAACAGCCAGGCTCTCCCAGGAAGCTCATCACCCGCATGAGTCAAAGATGGCAGCATACTTTTGGGGGGATTTAATGATGCTTTATGCTTTTTATCAAAACTATGAAACACAGTGATTATAATTAGTATATTTACAAAAACCACAAGAATAGACAGGCACAATCATGAGCCCCGATCACGAAGGGCTAATTGTCCCTCACTGCTTAATGTCCCCTGGGTTTCCTTTCAGCCTTAATTAGCACAACTTTTTAACTTTTTAATTTATAATGAATGCTTTCACTGAAGCACGCCCTGCTAGTGTTTGACAGATGGCTAATGTCAAAAGCCCAGGGGCATGGCTTAGCTTTGGGTTCCCTGTTTTCGAAGCAGGGGAAATATTTGGCTGTGCTGATAATTTGTCAGCATGCATTACCATCAACTTTTATTGGCCTTCAAATTCCCCGTTCTCCCTTAGACTTCTCTTTGACTCTTTGCCTATCAGAAGCACACCATCATGGCCCACGTGCTAAGCCTCATAAAGTTATTTTTCTCAATTAATGGCTTCACTGACAATTTTACTGCTTTGCTCTAAGCTCCCCCATTCCCCTGGGCATCAGTACACATGTCTATGATAAGCCTCATCCGGCCCTACAAAACTGGCCCCACAGAATTCAGATGTCCCTGTTTAAAGAAGCTCATTTCTCCCTCCCTCTCTTTTTTTGCAACATACCACTTGAAAATACATTTGAGCAGAAACAGAGCTTTAAAGCAGAACCATAAAAGTGATTATTCATGAGTGCGTTATTCCTCTCCCAGCTGACATCCATCCGACATTAATTTCCCTTGAGTGTGTATCTTCATCTCTTTTCCAAATCCTTACTACTATATATGAACTTTTAATTCCACCCTTATTCCTTTCTACTTTGTGCCAAAGACTTGCACAATGTGCTGAAAGAGAACCATGGGGCTTTGGAGCCACAATTTGGGAAACTCTGCTATGCCATGATAATGCTCCCTAGTTGCAACTGCTGGCTTTATTAGGTAGTCCGTTCACTGTTTTTTAATTATGAAAGGAAAAGTTCTTAATTCATTTTTTCTAAAGTTACTTTAAATGCATTTTCCCTTTTTTTTTTTTTTTTTTGAGACAGACTGACTCTGTTGCCCAGCCTGGAGTGCAGTGATATGATCTTGGCTTACTATAACCTCTGCCTCCCAGGTTCAAGCCATCCTCCTGCCTCCCCGCACCCCGACAGGCATGTGCCACCACACCCAGCTAATTTTTCTATTGTTAGTGGAGACAGGGTTTCACCATGTTGCCCAGGCTGCTCTTGAATCCCTGACCTCAAGCGATCCTCCTGCCTCAGTCCATGCTTGGCCTAAATGGATTTAGATCAGGGGAGCCTTCTCTTAGAGACGGCAATTTCTTGGCTGGGCGTGGTGGCTCACACCTGTAAGCCCAGCACTTTGGGAGGACAAGGCGGGTGGATCACAAGATCAGGAGTTTGAGACCAGCCTGGCCGACATGGTGAAACCCTGTCTCTACTAAAAATATAAAAAATTAGCCTGGCATGATGGCAGGTACCTGACCCAGCTACTTGGGAGGCTGAGGCAGGAGAACTGCTTGAACCCAGGAGGCGGAGGTTGCAGTGAACTGAGACTGTGCCACAGCACTCCAGCCTGGGCAACTGAGAGAGACCGTGTCTCAAAAAAAAAAAAAAAAAAAAGCAATTCCTGATAGCACCTCTCTCTGTCCCAAAGGACTCAGCAGAAGAAAGAACAACTGATAGAAAATATTCCCCTCATATCATATAGTTTTTAAAGCAATTTCATACACATCAGTTCATCTAAGACTTTTTTTTTTTAAACAGATGAGAAAGCAGAGATATTAAATAAAGGGTGTCTTCAAGGTCATGGCTTCTCTGTCAGTCAGTGTCAGAAACTCGAATTTAAACCACCACTTGATGATTCTGATTAAATAAGCAAATTCAATTTTGCAAACAGGATTAGAGATCTGGAGATTCTCATTAATGCTATGGTGACGAATCTTTTATAAGCAGTACTTACCATTGATTGTGCTTTTCTTAGCCTAGTTCTGTCCTGCAATTTATTTTTCTTATCATGTGACTGTCGGCTGAAATCTGGGGTCATTTCGTTTCTCTTTCTTCTTCTGTAAATTGGAAAGCAGTAGGAAAATTACAAAGTACCATTTTAAAACTCGGGTGATTTGCATAGCTATTTGTCTGTTTGACTTTGTTGTTCTTGTGATTTAAAAGATTGTCTTCCCTTAACTGGAAACAAGCCAAATGTCTATCAATAGAGAACTGGTTGAATCAACTTTGGTATCTCCACAACACAATGCAGTACTATGAGCTGCAAAACGAAGGCAGGATGTTTCTATATTCAACTGTGGAAGGATGTCCGGGATATACTGTTTCATGAAGAAAGAAAGGTAGATGAGATGGTATGTAGTGTGTGCTGCCATTCATTTCAGGAAGGAGGTATTAAGATCTCTGCCTCTATATAATGTACATAGGCGATCACTTTTACTTTTTAAAATGGAAGGATTATGGCTGGGTGTGGTGGCTCAGGCCTGTAATCTCACCACTTTGGGAGGCCAAGGAGGTTGGATCACCTGAGGTCAGGAGTTCGAGACCAGCCTGGCCAACATGGTGAAACCCCTTCTCTACTAAAAATACAAAAATTAGCTGGGCATGATGGTGCACACCTGTAGTCCCAGCTACTTGGGAGGCTGAGGCAGGAAAATCAGTCCAACCCAGGAAGTGGAGCTTTCAGTGAGCTGAGATCGTGCCACTGCACTCCAGCCTGGGCGACAGAGTGAGACTGCATCTCAAAAAATAATAATAATAAAATAAAATGGAAGGATTAAATCATAAAATGAAAAACAGTTACCTATAAGTAGGATTCCCATGTGAACTGATCAAAAACAGGGAATATGAGCTGGGCATGGTGGCTCATGCCCGTAACCCCAGCTATTCAGAAGGTCGAGAGGGGAGGATAACTTGAGTCCAGGAGTTTGAGACCCACCTGCACAACGTGGTGAGACCCTATCTCTACAAAAAATTTTAAAATGTAGCTGGGCATGGTGATGCATGCCTGTAGTTCCAGCTACTCAGGAAGGAGCAGTGCTTGAGCCCTGGAGGTCCAGGCTGCACTGAGCCATGACTGCGCTCTATCCTGGGTGACAGAGTGACACCCTAACTTAAAAAAAAAGGAAAAAAGAAGAACAGGTAATATAGAGGAACAGGGACCAAAAGTTAGATTTCTCCAAGTATACCTTATTTTGTATATTTAATTTTGGAGCCATCGAAATTTTTCTCAAAATCATAGAATAAAATGAAGTGAAAAATACCTAAAATCTAAAAAGCAAAATGAAACAAGTATGTATTTATTGAGTTGGTGGCATTACTACAGACAAAGAAGTTACTTCACGTGAGTTTAATGCAGGCGTTTGTCTGAATATTCTTCTTAAAGTATATCAGAGAGATGAAAATACAGACAAAAGTCAAACGGTTTTCAGTAATCATATTGCTTGCTTTAATATTGCCATTTTTTTCTAAAACTCCTGTATGTGTTAGGGTAAAACAAGGATCCACCAACCACAGCCCACAGGCTCAAGCCAGCCTGCTGCCTGTTTTTGTAAATAAAGTTTTATTGGAACATAGTCATACTTATTTCTTGCACATGGTCTATTACTATATTTATGCTACAATGGCAGAGTTGAGTAGCTGTGACAGAGACCATATGTCCTGCAAAGACTAAAATATTTCCTGCTTTGCCCTTTACGGGAAAAATTTGTCTGATGTAATGGATGTAGGCGATGAGTATCCATGGCTACCAACACGACAAAAAAAGAGACAACCAGAAATGATGTGTATTGTGATGGAAGTATATATCCCTGTTCAGTACATACATAAGTCTCTAAGGTCTGACTCTCAGTATAGCCAGGTACAAGGGACAGAGGAACCTGTTGGGATGCATGTGGAAAGTACAATCAACAAAATCCAGAATGTGAGAAGCTTTTCAGGATAAATGATCTGATATCTGTAACAAACAAATTGCAAGGGGGAAAAAAAATGACAGAGCGGGAAATTATGGACAAAACAAAATGCTCAAGTGACACACAGGCCAAATGAAATATGTAGACTTTTTTTTTTTTTTTTTTTTTTGAGACAGAGTCTTGCTTCATCACCCAGGCTGGAGTGCAGTGGCATAACCATGGCTCGCTGCATCCTTCACTTCCTGGGCTCAAGCAATCTTCCCAATCAGCCTCCTGAGTAGCTAGGACTACAGGCATGCACCACCACATTTGGCTAATTTTATTTTATTTTTACAGAGACAGGATCTTGCTATGTTGCCCAGGCTGGTCTCAAACTCCTAAACTCAAGTGATACTTCTGCCTCGGCCACTGAAAGTTCTGAAATTACAGGTGTTTGCCGTTGCACCTGGCCTGATCTTTTTGGGTGTCCACTCCAACCTCTCACCTCAGCTCTCTTGGCCCAATAAAGAAGGGTGATTTGCATAAATGTCCCAAAAGATCAAAATTGAGGAACTCCTACTTCCTGGTTTAAAATTTATTACAGAGCTACAGTAATCAAAACAGTGTCATACTGGTGTGAAGACTGACGTAGAGACCAATGGAACAGAATAAGGAGCCCAGAAATAAAACCCTCACACATATGGTCCATTGACTTTCAACAAAGGTGCCAAGACTATTCACTGGGGCAAAGGACAGTCTTTTCAACAATGGTGCTGGGGAAATGGGATATCTACATGCAAAACAATGAAGCTGGACCCCAGCTTTATACCATATGCAAAAATTAACTCAAAATGGATCAAAGACCTAAAGTGCAAAACTCAAACCACAAAACTCTTAGAAGAAAATATAAAGGAAAATTGCCGTGACATTGGATTTAGCAATGATTTCTCGGATATGACACCCAAAATTTAGACAAATTGGACTTCATCAAAATCGAAAACTTTTGTGCCCTAAAAGACACTGTCGAGAGAGAATGGGGTGTCAGGTCTACTCGGGGAAATGAGCTTCAGGACTGCTCCATTTAATTTGTTTAACCTTTGCACTATCTCTTGATTTTTCAACCTGATGACTCCTCAGTCTCTCTGGCTTGCTCCATTCTCTGGACTCTGATCTCAATTATTTGCCTCTGAAATTCGACTTCCGTGGAGTAGTTCCTCAGCCTTTCTTGGCTGGTTCATACCGGGTTGGCATTGTCCATCATGCCAGCAGTAAGCAGCAAAATGTATAAAGACCTAACAACTTGCCAGGCACGGTGGCTTGTGCCTGTAATTTCAGCACTTTGGGAGGGCGAGGGGAGAGGATCGCTTGAGTCGAATTAGAGACCAGCCTGGGCAACATAATGAGACTAGAAGTGACAGGTAATGCCCTTTTACCAAGGGAAACCTTAGTTAGAGACCAGCCTGTGCAACTTAATTCATCTAGAAGTGAAAGGGAAACATTTATTAAGGGAAACATTTAAGCAAGAAAGTGGCACTTCCATCCCGGCACTGACCCAGTACAATAATTTAATAAACAACACAGGAGCTCCACCAGGAAACCCCAAAGACCCAAGGCTGTTTCACATATTCTGCATCTTTGGGGCAGGCTGAAGAGTTACTTTCAGCTTAAGATACTGTGCTAGAGCCCTACTGGCTCCTGACAGGATGTTTTTAGGTTTAAAAAATACTAATGATGAGATTTCTGATGTGTTTGACAAAGAACCAAAAATATTTTTTCTTTGTTTTCTTTCTCTCTCTCTCTGTCTCTCTCTCTCTCTTTTTTTTTTTTTTTTGTGAGATAGGGTCAACATAGGGTCAGCCTGGGCATAGAAGCCCAGGCTGGTCTCAAACTTCTGGGCTCAAGCGATCCTCCTGCCTCGCCCTCCCAAAGTGCTAGGATTCCAGACACATACTACCTCACCCAGCTTTACTTTCAGAATTTATTTATAAGTAAATATATGATATATATTTGTTATATTATATATATGTGTGTAAATATAAATATATTCATATATTATTTACACACACACACATATATAATACAATCAGTAAATCTATTGAGTACCAGCTTTCTTCCCATCAGAGAAGGGAGTCACAAATACAAAAGGGATAAAGGCTAGAATAAACCCTTTGGTGCCGGATTGCAATTTAATGTTAAAATGTTAGAAGGGGCTGGGCACAGTGGCTGACACCTGTAATCCCAGCACTTTGGGAGGCTGAGGCAGGTGGATCACCCCAGGTCAGGAGTTCAAGACCAGCCTGGCCAACATGGTGAAACCCCCTTCTCTACTAAAAATACAAAAATTAGCTGGGGATGGTGGCAGGTGCCTATAGTCCCAGCTACTTGGGAGGCTGAGGCAGGAGAATTGCCTGAACCCAGGAGGTGGAGGTTGCAGTGAGCCAAGATTGTGCCATTGCATTCCAGACTGGGAGAGCATGAGAGCGAGACTCCAGACTCCAAAACAAAAACAAAAAAAAAAAAAAAAGCAGCAGCAGCAGCAATGTTAAATCATTACAATGACAAAATGCAAACTGTAACAAATAGAGCAAATCTGCTAATAATGGTCATTATACTGTTCTATTACTTTTTGCTCCTACGTACTGAAAAGCTTTTGTATTTCACAGTAAGTTCTTTTTTTTCTTCTTTTTTTTTTTTTTTGAGATGAGTTTCACACTTGTTGACCAGGCTGGAGTGCAATGGTGCAATCTCGGCTCAATGCAATGTCTGCCTTCCAGGTTCAAGCAATTCTCCTGCCTCAGCCTGAGTAGCTGGGACTACAGGTGTGCACCACCACGCCCAACTAATTTTTTGTAATTTTAGTAGAGATGGGGTTTCACCAGGTTGGCCAGAATGATCTTGATCTCTTGACCTCGTGATCCACCTGCCTCAGCCTCCCAAAGTGCTGGGATTATAGACATGAGCCACCACATCTAGCCTTTCAGAGTAGGTTCTATTTTCATCCCTTCATTTACTGAAATGCCAATAAATTATTTCTAAAAACAAAGAAGGTAAGAAGGGCATGGAGCGTCTTACCCTTGCCAGACAGTCTCCATGGGGTCACAGTTGTCTAGGTAATTAAAACGGATGATATCAGTTGGATGCTTATCAGAAGATCGCCACGGTGGAAGTGCTTTCTCCCCTGGGTTATTCTTCTTTCTTAAAGAGGAAGAGGACCGAAAAGCTGACAAAGGGGACTGCTTTTCCTCTGGAGAATTGCTTGTAATTAGCTGAACATCAGCAATTACAAATCCATCCTTTGGGGTTGTCTAGAAGAAGAAAATTATGTTCTCAAAATACTACAATACGCCAGGTATGGTAGCTCACACCTGTAATCCTAGCACTTTGGGAGGCCAAGGTGGGCAGATCAGTTGAGGTCAGGCGTTCGAGACCATCCTGGTCAACATGGTGAAACCCCGTCTCTACTAAAAATACCAAAAATCAGCTGGGCATGGTGGCGCGTGCCTGTAGTCCTAGCTACTCAGGAGGCTGAGGCAGGAGAATTGCCTGAACCCAGGAAGCGGAGGTTGCGGTGAGCCGAGATCGCGCCATTGCACTCCAGCCTGGGTAACAAGAGCAAAACTCCGTCTCAAAAAAGCAACAATAAAACCCACTATAATAATAATAATAACAATAAAACAAAGAATATATTGATGTGAGTTGGCTGAAGGATAAAAAAAAAAGGAATATCATCATCATCATCATCACCATCACCATTACCATGGTGAAAATGATTACAGGAGCCACCACTCCAGGAGGTGCCATGTTGCAGGCACTGTCTCAGGCAGTTTTCATGCATCATATTGTTTAACTTCACAATAACTCTATAAGGTAATCATTGCAACTTCCATGTTGCAGAAGAGGAAATAGAATAAAGGAGAAACTACTTAATTTGTCCACTACTACAAAGTAGTAAGTCAGAGAGCCAAAACTTGAATACAGGACTGTCTTGCTTCAAGCCCACACATAAGACCTCCCTATCTACTCTTCTACCATACCATTGTCTAGTTTGTCCCAGCTGCAGCTAATTTACTCATAAAAAGTACACATGCTCCCCAAAAAGTACCCCAGCTTTTATGATCTCTAACACACAGAAACAACTGAGTTGTACAGAAGTAGACTATAAATTTGATCAATGATCAAAACCTCAACCACTCCCAAAGAATACTTCTGCTTTCCTCTCCAAAACCGGGAGCCTGTCTTTTGTGTGTGAAATTCACAACGTTTTTATGTGGTTGTAGCCTAAGGACAGTACTACTGGTACGTAGAGACACCATTAAGGGCTTAATTTTTGTTCATTAAGAGATTAGGGAAGCTTTGCTGGGTAAATCAGTTTACTTTTATTGTTGCTGAAAATCAAGAATTTCCCCAGTTCCTCCAAGCATAATCAGTTAGTTTCTCATCCTTGTTTTAATTGCTCTTTGTATACAATTCTATTACAGAACATGCTTAGTACTCAGTGTTGTAATTATTTGTTTATGTGTGTTTGTCCTGGGCTACTAGACTAAGCTCTGTGAAAACAGGGATGGGATCCTTCTACATTTGTCACCTAGCTCACAACAATGTTTCATACATATTTATTCAGGCAGGGCATGGTGGATCACGCCTGTAATCCCAGCACTTTGGGAGGCCCAGGTGGGTGGATCATGTGAGGTCAGGAGTTTGAGATCAGTCTGGCCAACATGGTAAAACCCTGTCTCTACTAAAAAAAAAAAAAAAAAAAAAAAAAATTAGTCTGGCATTGTGGCACATGCCTGTAATCCCAGCTACGTGGGAGCCTGAGGCAGGAGAATCACTTGAACCCTGGAGGCGGAGCTTGCAGTAAGCTGAGATCTCGCCACTGCACTCCAGCATGGGAAACAGAGTGAAATTTATTCATTTAATGGATGACCTAGAAGCAGATTAAGAAGACATTTTATATTTACATAATTGATAGCTCATTATTGGTTTAGTATTCAGTATTTTATGCAAGTCTCATATACAATGGACATTCATTTCATTTCCCTGAGCTTATATTGAATTAAATCCATCTGTTTTTGCTGGAAGAGGTCTAGTTTAATACAGCTAGAAATACATAATATATAATAATCAAAAATAACGAGAGGGAAATTTTGGGTATAAATGCTAGTAGTTATATGTTAAAAATACATTAATTCTGTACAGTACAAAATGGTTACACTTTAACAAAATAGGTAATAGTGAAATCTGTGATAACTTATTTGTATTAAGTAAACAAAATTTTTGTTCACATCACCTGAAGTCTTTTTGAGAATCTTTCTAATCATGAATAGATGTTGAATTTTGTTAAATGCTTTTGTTTGGATATATTGAAGTGATCATATATCTTTTCTCTTTTTTAAAAAAATATGGAATGCTTTGTGAATTCACGTCTTCCATGCATCATTCCAATTTTAGTGTATGTGCTACTGAAAGATGCACTTTTTTCTCTTTTATTTCATGAATTACATTGATTGATTTTTTTTATATACATTCTTGATTTATCACCCAGGATGGAGTGCAGTGGCTCAGTCTCAGCTCATTGCAACCTCTGCCTCCCGGATTCAAGTGATTCTGCTGCCTTAGCCTCCTAAGTAGCTGGGATTACAGGTGTGTGACACCATGCCCAGCTAATTTTTTTTTTGAGACAGAGTCTTGTTTTGTCACACAGGCTGGAGTACAGTGGTACGATCTTGGCTGACTGTAATCTCTGCCTCCTGGTTCAGGCGACTCTCCTGCCTCAGCCTCCTGCGCAGCTGGGATCACAGATTCATGCCACCATGCTCAGCTAATTTTTTTTTTTTTTTTTTTGAGACAGAGTTTCACTCTTGTTACCCAGGCTAGAGTGCAATGGCGTGATCGCGGCTCACCGCAACCTCTGCCTCCTGGGTTCAGGCAATTCTCCTGCCTCAGCCTCCTGAGTAGCTGGGATTACAGGCACGTGCCACCATGCCCAGCTGACTTTTGGTATTTTTAGTAGAGACGGGGTTTCACCATGTTGACCAGGATGGTCTCGATCTCTTGACCTCGTGATCCACCCAGCTCGACCACCCAAAGTGCTGGGATTACAGGCTTGAGCCACCGCGCCCGGCTTTTTTTGTATTTTTAATGGAGATGGTGTTTCACCATGTTGGCCAGGCTGGTCTCGAACTCCTAACCTCAGGTGATCTGCCAACCTCAGCCTCCCAAAGTGCTGAAATTGCAGGTGCGAGCCACTGCACCGGCCTTAATTTTTGTATTTTTAGTAGAGACGGGGTTTCACCATGTTGACCTGGCTAGTCTCGAACTCCTGACCTCAAGTGACCTGCCTACCTTGGCCTCTCAAAGTGCAAGGATTATAGGGGTGAGCCACCACACCCAGCCTAATTTTTGACTGTTATGCCAGCCTTACTTTCCTTGGATGCATTCCATTTGGCCAGTGTGTATTATTCTTCTTATGTATTACTAGATTTAATTTGTTAATACTTTTTAAAGATTTTTTTTTTCAAACCAGGAAGAAGTTGAATCCCTGAATAGACCAATAACAAGGTCTAAAGTTGAGGTAGCAATTAATAGCCTAACAACCCAAAAAAGTCCAGGTCCAGACAGGTTCACAGATTAATTCTACCAGATGTACAAAGAGGAGCTGGTACTAATCCTTCTGAAACCATTCCAAACAATACAAAAAGAGGGAATCCTCCCTAACTTATTATATGAGACCAACATCATCCTGATACCAAAACCTGGCAGAGACACAAC